AGTGTCACACGTGCCCTGCCGTGAGGGCTGCAATTCGAGCCACTGTCCGTCTTCCTGTTGTACAAAATCTTGGCCGAGTATTTGTCATGAATCGGGAAACGCTGTGGAACGCTTTTATGCGGATATTTGCAATACGAAGAGTTTAAGACAGATGCTTCTATCTTGAATGACTGTCGTGTTACAATGGTAAGTCAGAATGAACAGATTCGTCGGACTATTTGTCTGGCCTTGTCAGCGTGATGGCTTCATTCCTGCAAGGTTTCCTAAGACTGTCAAGATGGGACTTTGTTAAGGAACCTTCGTTTCTTAGAGCCTTAATTAAATGCTGCTGGTAGCAGTTCAAAAGAATCGACATGGCATAATCAACTGCTCCGGGCTTGATATATTTGTCAAGTCAAGTTTATTAAAGGAAATATAGGCAAAGGCCCTTGAACTCCTTATTGGTACATAGCCTTAAAGATAAGCATCGGCACAGCTGAACATTTCAGTCAGATCGTTGACACAAATGTAAGCGACTGGTAGCTTGTTTCAAGTGATACACTAACATGTGGTGATGCCAGTTAACACGAGCCAGCAGTGTAACCGAGCAAGAAGAGCAGACAGTGACAAAACTCATAAGACATGGCTCATAATTCAAAATGGAATGTCCTTTAGGGTTTTTAGGAAAACAATATCACCCGTGTGGGATAGTATGTGAATGATAGGACCAGGATGCTGCTGTAAATGTTGGCGGCAGCCATGGGGGCCATGGCGAGTAATATCTACATCCGAAGGGCCAGACGAGGAGGAGACCTCAGAGTCACGAGAACCGGAGATGTGACCATGATAAGCCCTTGCTCGGACAACAACAGAGGAGCCCGCCACGTCGTCAGCAGGCGGTTTTTAGGTTGATACGAGAAAGCGCATGAAAGGGTCGCGTATCCTAGAACCATACATGCGGCAGATGCGACTGCAGACGAGATCAGCGCAATTCGTATAGTGAGAAGAGAAGTCGGATATGGCTAAGTACGGTGAAAGATATTTTGATTCGATAATAGTAATGCTACTTAAACATTGCTATTAGTATACATGTATAGCATCTAAATGATCGCTTAGTGTGTGGTTTCGGAGAACTCAGTTGCCATGGTGGCACGTCAGGCGGTACTGATCAAGCTGTCTTAAAGGTGTGTGCGTATAGGGACGTGACGATGTCCGCAGGAAGGGTATTTCATGCCTGAACACCGATATATTTAAGACCCAGGTTCAGCTGAAGTTAAAGAACTCTGGCGTAAGCCGTCTCATCGTAATTGTCTGCATGCCATTCTAGCGTAGCCGAGGATCCGCGATTTGGTTTCTTCGTAAAGTATTTTTAGGAATGTCTTGGACATTTACCACGGTCTGTAAATTCCGATAGGACTTTTGCTAGCACGTTTGACTCAACAAGTCTGGCATCGAACTTGAGGCTTCCGTAGACTTCCTTAATTACCGAGGGATCTTTGGACTCTCTAAGTTCTGCAAATATTCGAATGGTTTGTTTGGAAATATCATGCGGCATTCACATTTTTTTCAGCAATTTATCATCAGGCCAGTAAAATGGCACTAATTACTTAAAATAATGTGCATAAGGTAAAATCGAAACCAGCACCAATCCAAATATAGGCTGAGGAACCTTAAAAGCCGAATAATTGATGTTTGCGGCAGGGTACTCAGATGCAAAGTCGTTGAACAGGCATCTATACCTTTTCGCGGCCTACAAAATCTCACGCCATCACGAGAATAAAAAACAAAAGGAGGAGGAACTGAATCTGAGAATCACAGACAAAAAGTATTGAATGACCTTTCCCTTATCTTCTACCTTACCTTATTCGTTGTCCTGCGTGAGAGGAGC